AATTTCTCCTGAATGATGGAAATCTCTGTTTTTTTTTTTAAGGGAAGAAACTGAAACATTTTTTTATAACTGTTGAATTGGTATATCTTGTGATTTCAAAGGGATTTAATATTTTTCCTTCTAGACCCAAGTCTTTATGTAATGATGAAGCCAAAAACGTGCTCTTTAAAACAGACCCAGGAGATTCTCATGAGGTTGCTGGTGATGGGGCACAGGGGTTGGTGGGAATAGTGTTGGAATTGTAATAAAATCATAGGAATTTGCAACATTGTAAAATTCCCTTTCTGTTTTTCATTCTGAGCCTCGCTGCCTGATTCCTTTCTGTTCTCTTATCATTCATGGAAGAAAAAGAAAAAAAAAGGGGTCTAACCTCTTTTGTTCCTTATAGGGGATCTTTTATCAAAGGCTTCTTTTTGTTGTTGCAACAAGATTTCCATCACCCTTTTATTTTTCCCTGGGAATTTTGCCTTTTGAAAAGGAAAATGTTGCTTGGGACAGGTTCTATTAGCATCAGAGGCTTCCTGCTCTCAGAACTGGCTTCTATTTTACAGCTAATATCACCTTTAAAAAGGAGCAAACAGAAGAGCCGTAGAGCAAAGCCTCAGAGGCTAACTCGGTGCTGCGCAGGGGGGAGAATAAGGTTTCCCTTTGTGCTGCCTCGGGAGGGCATCTTCTCTTACAGCAGAGCTAATTTCTGCAGAATGCAGCTACAGCGGCAGGAGTTCAGTGGGGAAGGAGCTGGAGCAGGGGCAGGCTGGTCGAAGCCGTTTCTTTTTCTCCCTTCCAGAGTTCAGAGGCGGTGCTGTCTGACAGGCGAGGAGTTTGTCAGATTCTGCTGCATTGGAAAGTCGCTTTTCTTGGAAAGCGGAAGAGCTGAAGACCTCTGATCTTTCTGTTACCGCTTTGCTCTTTCCTACCCTTAAGTGTACAAGTCAAGGTTTGAACTTTTTCAGGCATTATCAGTTTGATAGGAGGCTTTTGGTTCCAAAACCCAAGCTAAGCCCAGAATTTTTCATGTGATCCTCTGCTTTTGATGGCTCCCAGCTGACATGTTATTTTCCCTCCATAAAAAGCACTCTTAGTGTTTATTGCCAAACTGTCACTGTTGGTTTTGGTCATTTAGGGTTTTTGTTTTTGTAGTTGTTAATTAAAACTCCCTCATATAAGTTACCCTGATACAGCTCTTAAACAAAAGGTTGTCATTAAGGTCGCTTTCCTAGAGAAGAACAGAGTTTCAACCTTCAGCTTGAGTTCAACATTCAGAGAAAGAAGATCTTGGGGTTTTCCAGGATAGCGGTTGCCAGTTGTTGCCAGTTTATCCTGGATATCTTAATCCAAAAGTCAGGATTTTCACAGATTAATGGTGAAAACATTGCAGAATAAAGAGGAGAGGGAAGACAGCAGAACGGTACTGACAAACTCACTGCAATGTGTGTGTGTGAGGAGGAGGAGGAGGATAGATGACAGGAGCCATCCTGGCTGTGCCCTTTGGGTGACACATCTGGACTTCAAGTGAACACTACAACTCCTCAGTGTTTTTGTTCATAGATGAAAAGGAAAAGGGGGAGGGAAGGAGGAGAGAAGAAGGGAAGAAATGAAAAATTGATTGCAGACATCCAGCTCAGCAAACAATTTCTTAATTTCTCAGGAAGGCCAGAGAGGTTGCAGTGTTTCCCTTCATCACCTGGTTCCTGCTGGTTGACCAGATGTGAGAGCAGAACAATAACTCACTTTTTAAAATTATTATTCATGTTATTCCTTCCTGAAGGACTAAAGCACCGCGGTGAAAGAGGAATCCTTCTAATTTTATTGCAAGCATGAGTGTGTAATTTCCTTGGAAAGGAAAAAAACACTTTTTCATACTTGTCAGTAAAACTGTGTCAGTTCCTAGGATGATGAATTAAATGTACCTGCTGTATTGCAACCTAAAGACAATCTAACATTTAATATGCAAAGTCTGGTAAGGGCTGGTAGGAAAAGGAGCCTTAAACAGCAAAAGGAGGTTTCTCTGCCTTTGATTTAGTAAGAGCCTCCAGTAAAGGCAGCTGCTGGCGCTTCGGAGCTGCTCGGACCTGTGGAGCGGGGAGCATCCTCTCGGCACACTTTTCTCCCTTTTAATCCAACGGAGGAAACCATCTCTCAAGGGCTTCCCAGCAGGTGCAGAGCCGCAGCGCTAGCCCCATTCCACACTGACATTATTCTGTTTTCCTTTTGTGTGTGCACGTACTGAAATTGCCAGGCCTTCCCAGGAAAAAGAGCTGATGCTTGTCCTGGGAGCGCAGCATCCCGGAGTGAGGGGAACTGATTGCCAGGGAGCTGAGGAGCTGAGAGCACGAGTTAATGTGTCTGTACATAAATCATGTTGGTTAATTGTCACAAACGGGAATGGGTTTAATAAGAATGGGTGATAAACAAAGCAGACTTCCTGCCAGTCCCAGCAGCTTTTTGCAAATCCAGGCAGCTTCCAGGAATTGCCATTTTCAAGAAAAGGAGTCTCTTGCTCTGCCTTAGTCCGTAGCTTTTTGAATGGTGGAGACAGCTGTGCAAAAAAATAAAATGACTTTGCAGTGTGCTTCAGGCAATATCTTCAGCTATCGCCTCTGAGGTATTTTGCAAGGGCAAAAAAAAAAAAAAAATAGTATATGTGCAAATGATCTTTCACAGGGGAAAATTTGTATGCCCAAATGGAGTAGCTTGGTTGCCAGCATGCGTGTTTCACTTCGGGCCAAAGTACAACTTAAAGATTGCAAACGTTGATGGAAGCTGCCAAGGTGACTTCAGGTTGGCAGCAAATCTGGCCCATAGTGACAGACGGGGATTTCGCTGTAATTGCACTTTTTGAGGCCAGGTTTGAAAATAAGGAAATATTTGTAGCAGCACTTTATCCTGGGGAAATAAGCAGCTACTGGCCATAGTGGTCTGTGTGTGTGCTAGACGTGTCCTTTCCACTTCTTCCTTTGCTGCTTGCACAGTAAGTGCTCTTGTAATGAAACACGTAGACTGGCGAGTGCCAGGGCATGAGCTGGGTTTAGGTTTAGCCTGTTATATAACACAGGGAGCTGCGTTTGTGCTGAAGCAAGGTAAGTGTTTTTGCAACAACGATTGATTATGGAACGTGGGTGCTGACTTTGCCTGTAGGATTTAACGGTACCTATTTCTACTGTCTTGGAGGTAGATACATACTTAAATTTTTGTCATTTTTTTCTGTGTTTCTCCTTTTTTTTCCATCCCTATTTGGTTTAGCATGTCAAGACAAACTTTTCTGTAGGTAATCCTAATTATTCCAAAGCATAAATTTTCAGAGTATTCACCTGCATTATGACAGAAACCATATTAAACAGCCTCTTGAGGAAAAGGTGTGGAAAGGTGAAGGGCGATAATGCAACTTTTGCAAATACGATGTGCTTCACTCCTCATGCAAAATACTCAAGAGAGGGATTATAACAAGATCAGATGAGAAGTTCTTCTCATGCTTTTGCATGAGCAAGATACTTTCCTTCCTTGAAATCCATAAATTCAAAGGCTGAAATGTGTTTATCCCTTCAGATGAAGGGAAATGAAAGAGTATTTTCTTGCAGGACAAAGGCTAATTCTCTCTCTCTCCATCTTCTCTTTCGTTCTTCCCCATATCCAGCTTCTGCGATTCCTGATAATGGAAGGAGATCCTGTCTAAAGCTTAAGGTCTTTGTGCGACCAGCAAGTAAGTTCTTTACATAAAGCTTTTAAGGGTGGCTCTGTAGCGCATGCTTTACTGTGTGGTCTGGTAAACAGCAATGAAACTTTTTTTTTACTGTTAAATCTTGTGTATCTGTTCTGTACAGCAACATTTGTGTTACGATTTTCATCATATTTTCTTATCATTCTTCATAAAGCTTTGTTTTAATTACATGGCAATTGCTAACTTGTTGTTTCTTAAACTGTTGTACAAATGGAAGGCTTCTGGCCTTTGGACAAGTGCCGCAGACTTTAAAACATAAATATACTTTCTTTTATATAATAAGTAGAGAGAAAAAAAGATAGAGAGAAAAAAAGGAAAGTGGGGGGGCTTAAGGGTGTCTCACTAACATATTTGGCTGTTATCTCTATTTTTGTTATAGACAGCTGTATGAAAACTATAGGTGTTCATGATCGTGTTTTCGATGTTAACGACAAAGTAGAAAATTCATTAGAACCAGCAGGTTAGTATGCTTAGAGAATCTCTTTTAACAAATGCTTCTATCCTTCTGGTGCTTCAGTACTTTTTTTCCTCCTCTCTCTGCATGCTTTGCATGGTATAATTGCTCTGCTTTTGCTCATTTCTAGCAGTGCTAATATTGCTTACGATCTATTTCCTGTGTCCTCCTTTAATGCAGGGGAGCAAAAACATTGCTCTGTTTGTTTTGGGGGGAGTTATGAAAATGTGGGGTGTGCCAGCGTTACATTTAGAGCAGCCTTCTGAGGTCGCTGGCCTTGCACACTGAGCACACGGCGTGCTGGGAAGCCCCCTGTTTCCTAACAGGGCCCCGCAGGGCAGGGAGCAAGTCGGTGCGTGTGCTCTTTGGCATGTGGTTTCCAAAGGCTCCCAGAAACAGCAGGACCACTTATATGTGGACCACTTGTGCTTGTTTGGTGGTAGTGCATGACACGGGCACACAGTGGATAGCATTTAAGAACGAACATCAGTCCTTTAAAATATATATATATACATATACACGTGTACATATATATATATATAATGTACATTTTTGGTTAGGCTAAGTATTATATTTTACCTACACGTGCACACACATATGTGTAACTTCCCATCTAGATTTTACTGGAGCAAACTCAGGCTCACATTTTAGGCTCTTTCTCTCCTCTCCCTTTCTCTCTCCCCTCTCTCTTCTTAAGAAATAACCCACAAAAGAGAAAACCTAACCTTGCCCAGGGCAGAGGAGGCTTAGCTTCCACTACAAAGCTCTGTTTCTCTGTGGGGAGTGCACGTATATGTTTATATGACCCAGATGTATGGCAGATAGGAGCATGTTTAAGTCTAGGGGGGTGTGAGCAATCCCACCAACTTCAATGGAATGGCTCATGGCATTAAAATTAGGTGGGTCTACAGGAAAATTATTTGCAGGAATGTTTACATGTCTGTTTTATGTGTACCTAGGCATAGCTCGCACAGTGTTTGTATTCAAGCCTCAAAAATTCAAGAATGCAGCTAAATAAACAAATTATACCAGAAAAAAAAATAAATACACATATGTACCAGATAGTACATACCTTGAAGAACAGAGTATCAGGATCTTTCTCTCTTTTAGGTTATTTGAAAGGGGACTTTCCCTTTAGTATGAAGCAACAGATTATTACATCTTGCTCTTTGATACCCTGGATTATGCTTGCTGATCCTTTAAATAGAAATCCTTATTTAAGCAGGAATATAAATAAGACTTTTAACAAGTCATCCAGTTTGAATGATTTACCTATGAATATACAGTGGATTCCATTATTTTTCTTGAAGAGGATTTTGAAAACTCATACAGACATTTTGACTTTGAGACTATAGGATGTTCTCTAAGGAAATATAAATGTAAGCAAAGCATATTCATGGTAGAGATACATTTATGCTTTTAATTGTAGTATTATCCTTCCAGAGCAGGAATTGGGGACAATCATTCGCTATCTCTAGGTAGCCTATGAGTCCAGAAACTCAGTGTGTTATTTTGCATTTTGTGGTTTGGTGAATATAGGCTAAGACATGTTTATCCCTTCTGTTCATTGCTTTGCAAGGGAGATGTTCACTAGAGTAATAAACTCGTGATTTTAGGGAACTTCCTGAGTGATTTTATTTTATTTTGTAATCCCTGCCGATCGCTTCCCAGTTGAGCAGTAATACCTCACTAGCCCTGTCACAAAAACATACCAGCAGAAAGCATCAGGCCAAAGAGGCAACCAAAACCACGCAAGGAACATTCTGCAGCAATGCAGTAGCGTGTGTGCTTCAATGGGAAATTCTAACCTTATTAATAAGGCTGCAAAGCGTTCCCGCTGGCGAGGTGACGAGCAGCGTCCCCAGGCCCGCGGAGCCCTGGGCTCGCGGCCCTGCTGCGCGTCACGCGGCCCTGGCGCGCGCCCCTC